GTAACGATGTCGTGAAATTACTTCCTCGAAAAATAAATTACCTCCAAAATAAAAATTTCGAAAAATTTGTTAAAAGTAGAAAGTAAACGTTTGACAGGCTAGCAGAAATGAAGTTTGACGTGTGGTAATTGAGGAGCGAAGATAAAAAAACGTAATCGTGATTGAACGACAGATCGATGAATTACAAAGTTAGCGCTGAGGGTAATTAGCCGCATTCCAGCCATTCCTGGACACGGTTCGTCTCTCTATCTCTTGTTCCTTGCGTGCGTCACGTAGTTATGAAATTTAGATAACAGCTGGTCGCGCGGCGAGCACGCAAAGATCGAACGAGATCGAAAGTGCGTATACATATACAGTGCACAGGTGTGCACGTAACGAGGCATTGACATTTATCCGTGGATCGGTGCAACAATCTACGACTATACACGGGTAATTAACTACACGGCCTCATGATTCCAGGCAAGTGAAGTCATCGGAACTGACGACGTTTTCTCCGTCGATGCGCCTCCTCGTGTTTACGGAAATTTTCTTCCGCCTATGCATCTGTGCATGCTTCTCGAGGATTCGTTTAAGCGTATAATTAACAAGCGAACGAGATCGTAATTCGCTCTGAATTCATTTACACCGAATTCGCTCTGAAATCCACTCAAATCCGCAGAAAAATTCTTCGTTCTCAAAATTAAATTTTTTTCAGAAGTAATGGAAAATCTCGATCGTATTTCACCGAGGCTTCAGCGAAGACTATCACAGTCCCAAAGGTGATTATTCTCATAAAAAATGAAATTATCAAAGTTCGTGAAAGAAAGTCGAAAAATTCCTCAGAAATTCTTCATTCTCCCACTGAATCTTTTTTCAGAAGTAATGAAAAATCTCGATCGCATAATTTCGTCGAGGCTTCAGCGAAGACTCAAAGTCCCAAAGGGATTACTCTCACAAAAAAGAAGTCAAAATTCGTGAAAAAAGGTCGCAAAATTCCCCAAAAACTCTTCATTCTCAATATTAAATTTTTTTTAGAACTAATGAAAAATCTCGATCGCGCAATTTCGTCGAGGCTTCAGCGAAGACTATCACAGTCCCAAAGATTATTATTCTCCCAAAAAAAAAAGAAATCACTAGAATTCGTAGAAACAGTCGCGTTTCGTTAGAGATTCCTTCCGCTCGGTCGGCAATTAATCGAATTTGTGGTTCACCGGCGAAAAAGAGGCGCGAAGGTCGGGAGGAGGCGACCTCGAGAGCGTTCCTCGTGAGCGTGTGCACCGTAGGAATGCGGCGCGCATCAGGAGTAAAACGTGCACACACGCGTTCGCGAGGTTACATAAATCGATTTGAATAGACGCTGCAAGGCCGCGATCGATTTGTTGCCTCTATTTTGCAATACCTGCGAAACGCCTCGCGATGGACAGCGGTGTATCAAGGCTGCGAAAAGTGCGTTCGTACGCGTTCACTTCGCAACGGCGCGCGGGCCATCCGGTGAAAATTTCCCACCGTGTCGAATCGAGTCGAATTTCAATTCTTCGTATCACCGATTCGAGCAACAATGGAACAGAGTGTGATGCAGGTTTCGAACTGTTTGTGCAATTTGCACGTGAGTATAGGTGCACTGGCGTTCGTAAGTATTGGGACACCCGTTGTGTTATGAAAGTGCTGTGTGATTTAAATTACACTTCCTCGCTGAAGTTAGTGTCGTACGTTAGTGTAAATATACGTATTTGCTGGTCGTTATACTTGGAGATTCCAGAATGAATAATCTGTTTTTTAGGATCTTGGCAATTTTGCTGTGACTTTTGTGTGTTGAGTAATTTGATTTTTAATATTGTGATGCAGCGAGGCTTGCCGAGGCAGCGAGATTTTAGTAGGTTTCAGTAGACGTCTGTAGAATTCGGTTGATTTTAGTAGACATTAGTGGAATTCCGTAGATTTCCGGTGGATTTCTCACGATTTCAATAGATATTGGTAGAATACAGTAGATTTGAATAGAATTCAGTAGATTTTAGTAGTTTTTAGCAGTTTTCTGTGGATTTCAGTAGATTTCTCTAGGTTTCAAAAGATTTTAGTAGAATACAGTAGATTTTAATAGAATGCAGTAGATTTCAGTACTTGTTTAAATAAAAATGAAAATGAAAAATAAAATTCAGTAGGTTTTAATAGATTTTAGTAGACTTCAGCAGAGTCCAACAGCAATTCAGTAAATTCCAGTATACTTCACATTCGGAAAGTGTCTTAATACTCACGAACGACACTCTACCTGCATCTCCGTATCAAAAAGAATCAAGATAAAACGACCACTTGTAATTAACGTACACTAGCCTCTCACCGAAGATTCGATCAATCTATTAACGGCGCGACAATTGCAACTGTCCTAGCCGACAAGGACAACACTCCCCGAAGCAAAGGACAATAATCGAAGATCCATATACCCGACAATTCAATCGAAAGAATAAAAAGATCACAGGTGTAACGAAATTCGAGCGAGTTTCTCGTTCGAGAAACCTCTCCGAATCGAGCTGCAATTCCCAGAATAAGGCTCCAATTAAAATGACCAGCGAATCGTGTCCTCGCGCGATCAAAACGAGGCAAGTTGCGTACAAACAGTCGTTCTTCTTACAACTCGTTCGTCGATTTCACCGATCGATCCTCGTTTATTTCGCGCCACACCGCACGCAACTCGCCGATTAAGCAATCTCGAAGCTACGCGTTTCACAAAGCTGGCCTTAACCTTCGCGACCCGCCTATGCAGTTAGTACTCCAGCTCGAACAATCGAAATCGCGACAGGTGTTTGCGAAATACACATGTCGCGTGTCACGTAAGCTGATTAGGTAACGGATCGAAAAACGAGGATGCTCGGCTGACGGGCAGCCACGAAGCTTCTGCGACCTGTCCAACGGACCGAAACGACTAAATAAAAATCGTAACTTCGCGTCGATATCATGCTGCATGGAATGACAATCGACAGAGTCTCGTGCATTTTTCACGAATAATTCGCTGTCATTAGCGAACGCTTCGAAGCGTAAGAGAGCAGCGCGCCTTTACGAAACGACTCGTTACGACATTCCAACTCTGACGTCGTTAAAATCCGCTGGATCGTTTCTTCCTCCGCGTCGAATCTGCCCTTTTTTACCTCTCTCCGCTCGCGTTAGTCGAGGTGCAATAAGCAATCGCGAGACGTCATCTCTCCTTTTCCTCGCCGTATGCAAACGTAATATTTTGCAAACACGTTCTTATATTTTTCTTTTTGCAAAAAGTGGTAAAGGAATTTCAGTAACTTCGTATCGAGGAGGATTGTGCGACGGTGATTGGGACAACGATGTTTCAAGAATTGTAATTTCCGGTGTGAAGACGAGGAGAAAGGGTTGAAAAGAAAGTTTGCAGACTCACCATGGTGAGGATTTCACCGATGCCAGAGAAAATCAGGAGAACCTTCCTGCCAAGCCTGTCAACGACCACCGGTGTCACGGCTGAGGCGCAAGTTTGCACGAGGGCGACGATGATAGTGGCTATCGGGCTGGGCAGCGATGATTTAGCGCTCTCGAAAATGTTACCCATGTAGAATAGGACCACGTTGATACCGCTGAGCTGCTGGAACGAGGCTAGTAGGCAAGTGTAGATCAGAGCCTTGAGGTTCGCCTTCACGGTGAACAGGTCGGAGAAGTTCGTTTCTTCCCTGAACGCCTCTTCCACTGCAGCCTGATAAAAATACACCTTAAAAGCATCTCGATGTATTACCAATTACCTCGGCAATGTGTCAGTTTGCGTAACAAAAAAAAAAAAGAATACATTCTCTTTCGCGTTCTGTGTGAAATTGTTGAATGAGAATGTTCCCGAAATGAGACGAAAAAATTCGTGAAAATACTAGAAGAACTACTGCGTCGATCCATATAAGTGCCCCGTGGATCTTTCTGATATCGATCGCGTTAAAAAATCCGAAGTTGGACCGGACGCGTACACGCTGTGATACACGAGAGTAGAGAGCGGACACGTGACGCGTTAGTCACTCGACTATGCGATTCAGTAGCGTACAGAGGCACGTTGGAGGAACGCCGTTACCATTGGCAGATCAAGGAACGACCTTACCCCCGGCCTCGTTCATAAGAACGTGACCCGAACGCTGATACCGCTCGATTTCTCGAGACCGCCTTCGGATCTGTGTTATCGTTGCTCTCCAGTTGGCGATTTTTTGGTAAAATTCCTGTGTTTACAGGCGGCCACGCACCGTCGTATCGATCGTTTATCTCTGTTCGTTTATAACCGAGGCTAATTTTACAACCACCGTGCAAACATACCGTGCAAAAATTACATCAACCGCGCGGTTTATTTATTTCAAGCGAGCGTGTTCTCGTTTATCGATAATCGCGCAACGATCTCGCGACCTCCCGCAACCCCGTTTCACACATTCTCGACGGCCTTCGTTACCCGTGACAGTGATCTTTCTCTCGTTCTTTCGAAATAGCCAGGACAGTGTTTAAAAATAGCCTGTCAAAGCTTCACGCTCGTTCCCGTAGGCGTTCTCTATGTGTTCTTCAATTTTGCAGATCGATTTACACGCACACTTTGAATTGTATCAATTACCTGCATCTCGTCAGCTTCCTTCTGCACGCTGGCCGGCGATTTACTCCTCAACCTGGCCAAAGCTTGCACCGCCTCTTCTCTTTTGCCGATTTTCAGTAGGAAGTAGGGTGATTCGGGCATAGTCATGAAGACGGCGAAGAATACGAATGGTACGGCGGCGCAGCAGATCCAGAACACCAGGTAAGAGACGTACGGACCGATGGAGTAAGAGTAGAGCAAGCCGAAGGTGACGAACAGCTGTAGGAAGGACCCCAAAGCACCTCTCACGGATATCTGGCGGATTCGAGGAAAATTTTCATCGAGCAAATCGGTTGAGCGTTTATGGGAAAGTTGAATGAAATTGGCTTACCTCGGCGATCTCACCGCAGTACATAGGAACGACCGTGAAAGCGAACGCTAAACCGATGCCGAGGATGATTCTGGCCACGTAGAGTTGGAAAACCACCTTGGCGGATGCGACTAGGATCCAGCCGAGCGTGAATGGAATTACGGCGGCCAGAAGAGTCTTCTTTCTGCCCCATCTGTCGTGGATGATAAATGGTTAACGTGGGCGTGGAGAATTTCGAACGGATTCGATTGGTAACTGTTAAGGTACAGAAAGGTATAGTCGGTGGAGGAAATATGGAGGAGGTCTTTAACTCGTCGTTGATCTTCGAAAATGACGCGCGTAAATTTAAACCTGATACGTACATCGTTTGTCTTTTTAAAGTATTTACCAAAAAGAAGAACGTCGTAATTCGTTGGATACTTTTGCCAAGTTAGCTCTCCAGTTAAAAGGTTAAGATCAGTCGGGTGTGGAAGTTCGATAGAAACAGTTCGAGAAGATAGGGGTTAGAAATTAGAGTCGAGGCTGTGCGAAGTATGCGTTAGGTTTTGTTCAGTTCTAATAGGAAAGGTAAAATGCTGATTCTGGGAGCTTGAAGTTGCGACCTATTTCTTCCACCGACTGTACATTTCATCTCCACGGAGCTAGAGGAATATAATTGAGGCTACTGATGGAAAAAGGGCACGTGGTTTAAGTGAGCTCAGGTGTGTTATACGTGTATACGGTGTATGAAGGACATATTACTTCTCTTTTGGATTTAATTGCGTTACTTTTTATTAAGTAACACGATAACGAAAACTTTGAAGTCGGTTTTCGTTAAATGGCATTTGCCCTTTTCCCATCAAAGGCCTCAATTCACTTAACACCTTCGCTACTAAACGTCGCATTCTCTCCGTGTACGGATTTTATTATCTCCGTCGAATGAATAATAAAAAATGAGCATTTAATAAACATTAGGTACACCCAAGTGCAGGAGTCCGTCGTATTGTGCAAAACTGATAAAAGTGTAGCTATTAAGAACGTGAATGAAAATAATCGAAAGGGACGATGCTTGGAGAGAAGAAGAGAAAATACCTTTCTGCCATGTATCCAGCGATAAAACTGCCAATCATCGCACCAACAGCCACCAACGATCCTATCCAAGAGTTTTCGTCATCGGTGATCTTCACGCCGAGTGGATTGTCGTCTAAGCTGTCCTGAAGTTTCGCTTTTATCGGACTGGTCCATGCCAACATAGCACCAGCCGACACGCAGCACAGATTCGCTGAAATCGTAAGATAATAATATCGATTAATCTCTAGATTCGCTTGTTTAGAACTCGAGAAAACCGAATTTCATTTATTCTCGAATACGATGCTATCGTCGCATTGTTAGCCTGGTTTTGTTTGCTTCAGCGATAGAAGAATCGTCTATTAACGGGTGAACGACAATGCTCGATCTATTTGAAGTACAAATTTTCCGCGTGCGCAGATAGTCACGGTTAATTTGCATCGATCACGCTTTCGATCCCTTTCGTCACCCACGTAACCGCTCGCGTACAAACGTCTCGCAAATGAGAACAATGAGTGCTCTGAATAGATTAGGCTGGAAACGAAGAAGTGACGTCTTTTAGCGTACACTACCGACAGGAAGTTTCGAAACAACCGTGATTCTTAGAGGTTCGAATCTCGACAATTTTCAACAATACGCGATGTGAATGTTTATAGATCGATGTCTGTTTAAGCTGTTAACTGGGTCGTTCGTCGATCAGAAATGCTACTTGCGCAGGCTGTTACGAATCTGAGGGGATGCGTTTGGATTGTGAGTGGCTCGTTTAAAATTTCTGCTTGCGATCTTTCGTTGAGAAATTAAACGGTGTTGACTTCGTCACTTTTTAGTCAACGGTAGTTTCTGTATTGGCGGAAATTAATATGAAGTGTTGAAAATTAAGGGGCGAAATATGAGAATATCGTGGATATTAGAAATATCGCGAATATCAGAAATATCGCGAATATCAGAAGTATCGCGAATATCAGAAATATCGCGAATATCAGAAGTATCGCGAAATTTAAAAATATCGCGGAATATAAAAATATCGCGAAATATAAAAATATCGCGAATATCAGAAGTATCGCGAATATCAGAAGTATCGCGAAATATAAAAATATCGCGAATATCAGAAATATCGCGAATATCAGAAGTATCGCGAATATCAGAAGCATCGCGAAATATAAAAATATCGCGAAATTTAAAAATATCGCGAAATATAAAAATATCGCGAATATCAGAAATATCGCGAATATCAGAAGTATCGCGAATATCAGAAGTATCGCGAAATATAAAAATATCGCGAAATTTAAAAATATCGCGAAATACCAGAAATATCCCGAAAGGCTATTACTCAGATTTTCAGCTCCCAGTGTACACATTACCCGTACACACACGAGCCACAATAAAAATTCTCCGTTTTCGTTTATTTATTTCTCAACTAGCGGGAGATAGTTCGCCATGGCGGGATGGGATCGTCGTGGAATAATTCGCCGGCGTCGGCGCCGTCGATAACGCGGACAAAAAAATAGTGGACAATGGTTGGCGAGCGGCAGATAAACTTTAATCGCGTGAATTTTTCCATCTCGACCCGGGCTAAAATTGCCTTATCGTTCGATCCACGCATTCTCGCTTTCGACCGGATCCCTCTTTTCCTCCAGCTTTTATCTCCTCGTTACTTCGTTTCATTGATACATTACATAATTAATGTTGCCCGATCATTGCTCGAGGAGGAAAACATCGGCTATCGATCGTTCCTTCCAAAGCAAAGATTTCCTATCTTCTGTTTTCGTATTACGATTTTATTCCGCGCGATACGCGTTTGCCAGCGTGCAATAAGGAAGATCGACGATAACGCGACACATTATTAAAGCACCGGATTCACCTGCTTCGCTTATCTGTTCATCTCTCAATTCTCGTTTGTCTAGATTTTTTATTATTTTTTTCTCTCTCTCTTCTTTTTCACCCGAAGATATACATAGGATGAAATTGAATCGTTCGTATTATGCAACGGTTAATAGCGGTCTGGAGACGGAGATAAGGAACATTGGTGTAATTTGCGACTGGATTAGAGTCTTTGCAGCATAGGTGATATCATCGAAGGTAATATCGATCTGGAATGTTTGGTCATGTTGAATGTAGCACAAAGGTGTCTGGTGTCTATGCGAAACAGCGATCTTTCTTAGAGCTTAAACTGTGGTGTCGTTCATCTAGTACGAATGGATCTTCGACGTTGATCCTTTCTTTTCTTTTCGTCCTTTAAAGGGTCGTTCAACCCTTTCGCTCGAAAAATCACGAGATTCGATCGCGTGACAGTGAGATAATCGCCGAAATTCGTCTCCAAGGATATTCGAAAAATTTAATATGACAAGCAAAGTAAAATTTACATCGTGTGACACTATATTCGATCGCATAACAGTGTCTCAATCACCCAAATTTGTCTGAAAATAAATTCGAAAAATTTAAAGGGTTAAAGAGCCACAGAGCTCGAAATTAATCGTGCACCCTTTACAAGCAAACTACTCGACCAAATTAGGGTAATTCCGGGAGAGATGGACCAGGCAAGTATTTCCTACATTATCCGCCATATGTGGAACGCGTCAGTATTCTTTTGTTTTACATTTGTTTTACGGAAAGCGATCTCGGTGCTTTTTCTTCCATATCCGGCGGATAATGTAGGAAATACTTGCCTGGTCCGTCTCTCCCGAAATTATCCTATCGTCGACAAATTGACAAGATTTTCTCTGTCCCAACGGAAATCCTCGAGGAGGAAAGAAAACTCGAAAGATGGAAGAGAATCTGGTGCTAAGAGGTACACGCGAATCGCATCGAGCGTTTTAACAGTATCTTTATAGCGTGGCGGGAATGGACGTGGAAATGGTTGTTTTAACGACTCACGGAGAGCATTGTCGTAAAGCGGAACGTAACGACAGCTTCGTTCTCCTGTTCTTCGCCTCTTCCGCCGAAACACGATCTCCAAGGATCGCGTCGAACGCGTTTTCAACCATGTGAGAAGCACGGTTTTGCATGATTGCCAATTTCAACGACTTACTTTCAAGGATCCTCCGTGCATCCGTCGATATATAGACAGAGAGAGAACTGAAACGATCGAGATCACGTTGCACGGAAGGATCGATTCGCGGTTTATTCGAAAAGATGATTATCGCTTTAATGAAATATTCATGGAAGAACGGTGAGTTGTTTGGCTGGAATGGGACAGAGATGATTGAACGGAATTGAAAGTGGTCTCGTAATCGTATGGAAATTGGACTGTTTAAGATGATTGTGAGATCAAGTGTTTCGCTTAATCTTATCAGGTGACAGTCTGGTAACGGTCGAGGATTAATATTACGTTAACTTGGATTCTTAACAAGTGGAGGAATGATGTTGGTTAGGTGAGGTGGAATTGTCCAGACTGGGTATCCTCCGAGGAGGCAAAAATCTGATTGGAACGGAGGTAGTCTAGATAGTCGCGATATCGTTAATTAGAATGGGCATTCAATGTCACGCGTTGTCGCGGAGGATAATGTATGTATGGAATGTGGAATAGTAAAACAAACTTGAGTTTATTAAGCGAATAAAGTTTCTGCACCTCGTTTAACCCTTTTTACGGAGTTTGCAAATTCAGGTGAAATTGAGACAATATTAGATATTCACAAAAAATGAAACTCGGTTTATTTAGATGTTGCAGTTTTAAAAAAATCGGTGTAAATTTTCTCCTTTTTTCTAAAGATTGTTAATGTTTATTAGACATTCAAGTATATTTAAAAATCTCATGTCAGTCCAAATATCAGTTATTCAGTCACTCGGTCCATTTATTCCTGACTTGATTTTAGATGAAATTCCCCCAATTTGCAAGCGTTAATCAATAAAGAAACACAGGTACCGAAATATCTAGCGAACAATTCATCGTAGAAAGGTGCAGAAATACAGTATATTCTCCACAAGTGTCAGACCGCAAGGAAGCTAAACCTGACACTCGTAGAGTCAGGGACTACGTTTTCGAGCCTCCTGCCTGCCATTGTAGTTTGCCGAACGTAGTCAAGGACAGCGAATAAAAGATAAGCATGAAACGTGAGTCCAGGCAACCAACCGATTTAAATATCAACTTTTTTAATTTTACGTATTCTTATTCCGAAATTTTTCTTAACATATTGATGAGATTTTTCTGATGAAAATGATATCAAACACGATATAATTTGAACAACATTTACTTATTAACACGTTCACGACAGATTTACAGGTGCTGTCAGGTGGCCACAAGAAAATATATTTTAAGCATAGGATTATAGTATTATGCTTTATAATTTTTTTTTTTTTTCAATTGAAAATAATGTCTAGCTAGCTATGACGTTCAAAATTTTTAGTTGACAACATTTAGTTTATTTTAATTATTCTAAACATTTGAGGCACTCCAGTCACTGATGACCACCATGGCCACATCGAGGAAACAATCTAAAATGTATTCAACGTTTGTTTGTTATAATATCGTGAAATGAATTATATTACACATTTTCTCTATTCACACTGAATTTAAAGATTATAACGATTAAAAATCAAGTTGACCTGTGGTCATTTATCAAGAATAATCATAATAAAGCTGAAATTATTGTGTTAAATAATTTTTTTAATACGAATTAGGAATTTATTCAACGTTTGCTTGTTACTACTTGTTACAGTATACTGTCTCGCAATGTAAATTTAAGTAAATTAGGTTGAACTGCACAGAAAATGCACAGAACTGCACAAATAATTCATTTCACGATATTATAACAAACAAACGTTCAATACATTTTTGATTCGCGTAAGAAGAATTATTTAACACGATAAATTTAGCTGTACTATGGTTACTTTTAATCTACGACCACAGGTCAACCAGATTTTTAATCCATCCCTACGAAATTAATTTAACCACGAGTAAGTAACGAGAACGCTAAAACCTATGTTTCCATTGAAGAATATTGTAAAAACGTATAAATTGTTATATGCAATGTTATAACAAATTGTCGGAAGTATAAATTTTTAATAAAATTGTGAAAATTGATAAATTATACCGTGTTACGATATCGGAAATCTCCCGCGAAAATCTCCCGCGAAAATTTCCCGCCTGACCTAACCGACGATTTTGCTAATGACTTTGGGGAGAGGGTACCGCAGGTATATAAGGACCCGCCGATGTCCCGCGAAATCATTTACCCTTTATACTGGGCCCTAGACACTTCGCGGCGTATTTTGACC